TTTATTGGTTTTATCCACTTAGCCACTAGTGAACTATTAGGTTGTTCGGAAAGTAAGTTCATTTTTTTTACCACTAGATGGATTAGTTTTTTCCCACCATTTTCATTCTAAACCATTATGAGATCTGAAAGGCCCCTGGGTCTAAAACAGTAATTTTATTAATACTGTAATGTTAAATATTGTCATAAAATATTATTTCATTTTGGTGAGAAATTAACGTTTTCCAACGTGGGAAAGATAGATAACAGATGCTACTTCCTTTGAGGGAAGTTCGTACATCCTCTGTTTTTCCCTTATCCACTAAAAATCTCGCTTAGATGGGAACTATCTACCCCTCTTTGATTCCCTTTTCATCTGTTCACATGAAAGAGTTTCTGGCAGATGATTGGTCGTAAATCATGAGATATAGGGGAAATTTATCAGAATTCGGGGAGTTCATCGACAGACCTGGAAGTGTCTGGACTCCACACATTTTCCTCCCGATGACCAACGCCCTTAGACGAATCACATAGAATAATTCCAGAGTTAGCACTTAGAAGTTATACTTTGATTTTGTGCACATATCGATCTCCCATGGAAAGAAGTAAGTGAACTTTATCTCCGAAGTGTCCCTTGCCTACAGAGAAGAAGACGAACGACAACTAAACCAGGTTGTATGTTTTAAAACGATATTGTAATCTCTCTCTCGATCGCGCATCGGTTATAATAGGGTCGTATATCTCTCGTTGTATGTCTTAATTGTAGCAGTTATATCATTCCTTCATTTAATATTTTGTATTAGTTTTTATTTTCTTATGCCTTATTAAATTTATTGTTGTTTGTTTATCCAATGAAATGACTCTTAATTTGTGTCTGAATCAGATCTCATACGCGTGTTTGCCCGCGGAATTAAATTGACAAACTGGTGTCACGAATCCTGACGTTTGATAAAGACTTTGCCGTCTATATCCTCTCTAATATTAAAAAGCCCTCCCAGTCAAAATCCTGATTAGGATTGGATCTCTCGATCCGAAACTCAGAGAACAGATTTCGGATAATCTGTGCCGATTAAGTGGTACGAACAATCTTAAACGGAGTTTGTACCCCTGGCTGATCTCACACCATATTATCATTATATATTTTGACAGCTAGCATTTTAAGGCTTACTTCTAAAAAATTTTGTTTGATTTTGTGCAATTGTTTATTTTTTGTGTCCCATCAAACATGGAAGATCGAAAGCATCATTTTCAGCATATTTTGCTTTTTTATTACCAAAAAATCAAAATGCTGTTCAAGCAAGGAAAAAATTGCACTACATTTATGGAGATGATGTGTTGACAGAACGAAAGTGCCAAAACTGATTTACAAAATTTTGTTCTGTCAATTTCAATATTGAAGATGCACCACGTTCTGGACGGCCAGTTGAAGCCAATGAAAACAAAATAAAGGTAATGATTGAAGCAAACTGCAGAATAACAACATGTGAAATCACTAAGAGATTAAATTTGTCAAATTGAACTGTTTATGATTACTTGAAACAAGTTGGTTTTGTTTCAAAGCTCAATATATGGGTTCCATGTGTTCTTAAAGAGAGATGCTGTTTTTGGTGGGATTTTTAAGGAAATTTTTTTGGAGCTTTTACCAGACAATTTAACAATTGATTCAAAAGTGTACTGCCATTAAGTAAACAAATTGAGTAATATCATCAAACAGAAAAGGCAGCCAGAATTGATCAACAAAACAGGTGTAGTGTTTTACCACGATAATGNCTATAAAAAAAATTTTAATTTAAGAATTTGAATTTTAACAAAAATAGTTGTATATAAAATGTTTAAAAAAACTGAATTTTAAATCATTAAATTTTCAATTATTATTTCAAATAGGATTTTGAAATATGGAAATTCTCAAATATGTATAATCATCAAAATTGAAATTTATTTTCAACTAAACAGCAATGTATTATCTTAGATGTAAATATTTATGTACCACAAAAGGAAAAAATAATTTAAGCCTTTTTTCCTGCAGTTGAAAATTTATTAAATCCTACTTAGACATAAGGTAAATGCACTGGTAGTGGACACTTTAAGGAAAATTTTTCGACTTTTTTGAAACTGGACCCCTATTTGGAAGCCTTATGGCTTAAAAGTTATATTGTCTGTTAGACAAAATCTTTCTTCACTCACTGTAAGGATTTTAATTATGTCAGTCTCGTCGAATACATTTTAATTTAATTTATTTTGTAAGGTTGAAAATGTTTCAGTAGTGGACATTGAAAAAATTGAGATATTTAGTAATGGACAGGCATTTGCACCAGTAGTGGACAAGGAATATAGAAATGATTATATTCAAGATGAAATCGTTTTTATTTTTCACAACTTGCAGAATTTGACAGTCTTTACTATAAAGAACAAGAACACTGTG